TATCTTCCCCTCGGGTAAATTTGGCAAAATTGTCCAAGAGTTATAAAAACTTAAGTGACTTGTATGAAATAAACAACATACAACACCAGGAAATGGTACAATTTCAGGAGAGGCTTATATCTATGTGGAAAGTTCATGGCTTGGACAACACTTGCATTAGGATACTTCCAAAAGTTCATGAAAGGATTTGTGTTATCTTTTAATTCCATTTTTCCAGGAACTTTAAGTATCCTCATATATCAAACTCAGTGATTTTTCTGTAATGTTACATTTAGATAATATTTTGTACACAAGGTTTGTTACGTGTGTCTTTTGAAGTATGTCTTTAGAATGAAGGAATATTGTATAAGGAATATATATGAAACAACCATAAGTTCTAAAGACCAAAACATGCCTAGGAATTCAAAGAAGCGGGAACATGAGTATTTAATAAGGTGCATTTTCTTGGTCAAAATTGCCCTTCTCTAAATAGTATTTTGCCACCTCATTCTGCATTTATTCAACTTCATATTAACTTTTATAGTTTACTGTATCTTTGAGATTCTCAAGTCTCCTTAATTCTAGAAAACAGGTAACTTCTGCTGCTGAAATAAAATCTCATTTTTTGATGTGGGGTTAAATATGACCTGGTAAAATAGATGTTCAGAAACAACCAGGTAGTTCCAAGATTTTATAAAATCAAGTCCAAATACAAAGGGATATTAAACTGATGTGATTGAATCTTCTGGTGTGATTTAGAATTTCTACTTTGTCTTCTGCACATGTCAATATGACTAATTTTTTGCCTGACATGATATATGTATAATAGTAGATACAAGTGGCTTGAGATGATGCTTTTAATTGCCAAAATCACTATCTAAACAGTAGTGAACATTGTTTGCTACTGCCGATGCTTTTCACGTGGTCTCTACAACAAATCTGCATTTACCGAAAGTAAGTTATGTATTTATGTAAGTTGTATCTTCTCACACTTCAAAGTTACACAATGTAGGGTTTTTTGTTGTTAAATATGCACTTTGTGTTTTAAACAGGAGGATTTTTTTAAATGTATATTTACGTTTTTTCAAAGGTAGGTGCTTTGGATGTGAGAATATCTGATTTACTGAAAATGGTATTTTGGGAAGCTGGGTTATTTTCAGACAATGCAAATTTCCTTTATTTCCTCTAGTTTAATAATAGAGAGGATGTAGCAAGCTAAGAGGTCACAACTTAAATTGCACAGTATGTTTGCTAAATATGAAACGTACTGAGATATTCACTTTTAGTTCTTTTAAAAGATCATTAAGCTAACTTTGATTTGATTTCAATGAATTTCTTATTTAAGCATATTAAAAACTAGCCCCTTTTTGCCCTTGTGCAGTTACAAATCATAGATAGCTCCTGCCTCTTCCTGATCTTTTAGTCTTTCCTGGGATTCTGCCAGTAAGTTCAAATTGGTATACTGTGAGCCTTTTTAAAAATTTTATTTCCTCAAATTGATTATTTAAAACTAATAATTACGAAAAGTAAAATTTTCTCTTAAAGATCTATTTGGAAGAATGAGTGTATTTGGTACTTCGCCTACTTCACTTAAGGTGTTTTCTAAAACTACCTTTAACACTCAGTTCAAATGTACATTAACTTATGTTAATGTTTCAAAAACAAATACTTAGAAGCTTAGAAGCAACGCACCATAAAAATCTTCAGAAATCATTATAAAGAAGAGCGAAAGGAAAACTAAAAAATATATAAAGTTTAACCACATATATTTTCTCTTTTAAATTTAGCTTAGTGAGGGCTGAACGCTTAGCTCGGTTGGAGCGCGGTGTTGTAACACCAAGGTCGGGGGTTCGGATGCCTGCACCGGCAGCAGCCAAAGTGGGGGAAAAATTAGCTTAGTGGAAAATTTGCCTGAAGAAATATAATTTGTAGGAATACTATCAGTTCATCGCGTTCGAAACAAACCCTGGCGTGGACATGTTTTATCCTGTTTTTTCAGGCTGAGTTGTACATCTGTACTTTGCCTTATTTCTGCGGTGTTCTCCCTGCTATCGGGCATTTAAAGAGATTACCCTTCGGACTTTCTGGTTTGATGAGGTTCGGCAGGATAGGGAAGCCGCGTGCGTAGGTGGACCCTTGTGCCCTGGAGATGCAGAGAAGTAAAACTGGTCGCCAGTGGGCGCTGTGGGTCCGTGGAAGTCAGTGAAGTGGTGGCGCTCGTCTCAGCTCTGGGCACGCACTTAGCTGAGGGTCAGAGTGATGAAGAATCCCTGCCACCTTCTCCATCTGGGCCTTTTGACGCTGAGTAAGAAGCACTTCGTTGACTGTTACTGAGTAAGAAGCACTTCGTTGACTGTTACATCACAACGGATATTTGTCCCCGTCACCCCTTAAATCCCCGGGCACCTTGGGAAGCGTGAGAGTCTCCCGGAGGCAAATTAAAGAGAAAGTCCCCGCCAGCTTGAGTGTGCCGGCGACATTTGCAGGGGAAGCTTAGGAGGTGCTGCTTTCCCGGGAAGTGAGGAGCGGAAGAGACTCCCGCGAGGAACGTGTGGAGGGGAGAGTGGGAGGCGAAGACGTTCACGCCCTGGTTACGTGCTACAAATTCCGTCGCCGCGTCCCCTGCAGTCGTTTTGCATTTCCCGGCCCTGTTGACTTACGTCGGGCCCGAACTGATTGTTTGGCACCGAAATCAAGTCAGAAAGTCACTCAGAGGCACGCACGGGGGCAGCCGCGAAGGGAGCCGGGGAGCTCGGTGGGTGCAGCGCGTGTGCGGTGTCGGTCCCACCCAGACGGAAACCTGTCGCCTCAAGACGTAAACCCCGAAGAAAACGCGTCGCCTTCGACCCCGCACAAGCGAAAGTTCCGCGCTAAGTATCTGTTGAAGTTGGCACTGTCGGGCAACGAGGGCGCGCTGCTGGACGCGGCCGCTCGGGCGGGCGGCAGCCGGGCGCGGGGACAGGTGGCCCGTCGTTGTCGCCCGCTCCCTGCTCGGCCGTCTCTATTCCAACGTCTCCACCGCGCCTGGGAGGTCTTTCGGCCGCTCTGGGGACGCCCCGTGCACGCCCCGTGCACGCCGGAGCCACTTCTCGGCC